ATGAACACTTCGTGCGAGTATGTACGTGCGAAGCGCCCGGTGATAGCGGTATACATGGGCTCGACGACTTCAAAGTCGGTGGGAAACAGAATATCGAAATAGCCTTGGTGGACCTGCTTGAGTATCAGCATTGTTCAGATCTTTGGAGGGGGCACGAAACTTACGAGAGGTGTGCTGACGGGTATCATCTGCCTCTTGTACCGCGTCTGCACCACTGGCGCATTCAACCCTTCCACCCCATCGCTCAGCTTGTGGAAGTCACTGCTGATCAGCTTGTGATTCGGAAACTTCTGATACAGCATGTAGAAAAACTGCATAAGGCGTGTCGGTATGTACTCCGGCATGGTAAGCGAGTCGTGGAACGGTAGCAGAGACCGCACGCTGTTCATCAAACGTGATCCCGACAACGGGTCCGGGTACGATTTGCATGCCGCATGCCGCCGCTCGAGAAATTGCGCAGCTAATGGGTCCAAGGCTCGTGAATAGTATTCGAACATTTCGCCGCGAGGATCAATAACAACGTGAGACTGATACGGCGTCCCCGTCTGCCAGTCGTACTTGAGCGCATCGTGCGCAAAGTTGTCAAAGACTTCCAGCGCAAGAAAGTAGCACGGGCTCGAGACGTACTGGTCCCAGTCGAAAACTGACTTGTTTACAATCTCAACTTTGTCCGAGTGTCCTCTTGCATAGGCACTGTGCCCCAGACCTTGCTGCTGCAGATCGGCCAGCTGGGTAGTGATCTCAATGATGTTGTATTTTGTTCTCTCATAGACTTCCGGGTGGCAGTCCCTGATGTAGTCCAAGATGTTCAGCATCATGGTTCCGTTTCCGGCACCCATTTCGTAGATGTTGAGGTCGTGGTACGGATAGGAGCTGTACTTGTAGTCTTCGACGAGGTAGCGGGCGATGGCTTCGCCATAGTATGGGGAGAAAAGCTCGGTAGGTGTATGCCAGAGCTGGCGCAGATCGTTCGGTTCCTGGAAGTCAAGCGCATCTTCGAAGGCGGTGTAGCGGTGACGAAGGGACTGGAAGAAGGCGTGTTCGGAGGAGAGCGAGGGGAAATCGAAAGGCTCGCCGGGCGAAAAGATGACGACCTGCTTGGAGAAGTAGCCGTAGTGCGGGTTGTACAAGCTGTCTGCATGCTTGTTAGAGCTGAGGGTGCCAATTGGCGGCATCGTTCGTACCTTCTATGAAGTCTCTGAGCAACATCCTGACCCTTCTCGGCCGTTCTCTGCGACTCCGTAGCATGTCCGACGTCACGAGCGGGTACCGCTCGAATTCCTCTGTCCTTTCATGGGGGAACACGTTGCGTCTGGGCTGCCATTTGCTTTCCCTTTTCGTCTCGCCCTCACCCAGCCGTGTCGTTGTCCTCGGCGCAGCTTTGGTGGCCTTCCCGCGTTGCTGGGTTTGCGGCGTGCGGGCAGCTTGCCTGAGCGCTGGGCGAGCTCCACGCACGAGACATTGCGACGCGCGATGCGAGAAGAGCTGGCGGAAGAGCTGGGTAACCTGGGGCGAGTCCATTGATGTCTGCGGACTGGCGATCGCGGACGGCGGCCGACGTGGAGGATGGTCGCGCGAAGGCACGTGGTCTTGGATCTGCGAGAAGCTTTCCGCCAAGCTCGTCAGAGCTCCGCTCCGCTTACCAGGAACCTTCTCATACGCGCTCAAACCAGGTTTGTCGGTGGCACAATCACACAATGGGCGACCACTCCAAATACTACATCACAGGGGCTTTTATTCTGGGCGCAGTCGTGGCTGTTGGTCTCCAGAGTTTACAGCAGCATGGTCGGGAAGCAGCTGGGCACCAACAGCAGCAACATCAGATAGCCTTGCGCAGACTTTCCAAGATCAATGACCTCGACACCTTGAAGAAGAATCTGTCGGATATCGAGATCGCTTCAGGAAACATCAAAGAGGGCATCGAAGGATGCATCGGCGATACGCCACTCATAAAGATTAAATCTCTATCAGAAGCTACTGGTTGTGAAATACTGGCAAAGGCCGAGGTAACTTCGTCACAGCGATACCGTAAAGTCGTGGCTGCTAACACCCGTTGCAGTTTCTAAATGGCGCCGGTAACAGCCCGAAGGACCGTGTTGCGCTTAGCATTATTCAAATGGTCAGTTCGGATATTAGATGTTTCCATGCATGCAACTGATCTATGCAGGCCGAAGAGAAAGGCTTTCTCGTTCCACACTCAGGCGACACTATCTACGAAGGCACTGTAGGGAGCACAGGCATTTCACTTGCCGCGATATGTCGAGCACGTGGCTATAAAGCACACATGTATGACGTTGGTTTATCGTGTTTGTGACATAGCTAACACATAGAACAGCTGCATGCCAAACGATATGGCAACCGAGAAATCAGACCTGCTGCTCAAGCTGGGCGCAGAAGTAGAAAGAGTCAAGCCAGCACCAATTGTAGACCAGAACCAATTCGTTAATCTGGCCCGAACAAGGGCAAAAGAGCATACCGAAAGCAAAGAAAAGCCTGGGAGGGGCCTATTTGCAGATCAGTTCGAAAATGAAGCCAACTGGCGTGCGCATTTCACAAGCACAGGCCCGGAAATTTACGAGCAAACGGGTGGCGTCGTAGATGCGTTCGTTAGTGGAGCAGGGACCGGAGGTACAATATCTGGGGTTGCGCTCTTTCTAAAATCAAAGCTCCCAGACTTCAAGGTTGTGCTTGCGGATCCTCAGGGGAGTGGTCTATTCAATAAAGTGAAGTACGGGGTCATGTTTGATCCCAAGGAAAGAGAAGGAACAAGGCGGAGACACCAGGTCGATACTATTGTGGAAGGCATCGGGATTAACCGCGTCACACACAATTTTGAAGTCGGCCGCGAGCTGATAGATGATGCTATTAGAGTCACGGACGAGCAAGCCACCGGCATGGCTAGGTGGCTGGTTGAGCATGACGGCATTTTCGTTGGCAGCAGCAGTGCTGTGAACTGTAAGTTGAAGAGTTGCTTCTGCATTCATCACTAACATTCCAGGCGTCGCTGCAACAAAGCTTGCCAAGCAACTTGGTCCAGGTCACCGAATAGTGACCTTGCTTTGTGATAGGTAAGGATAAATTATCTTTATATGGTATAGTACTGATGCTCTATAGCGGTGCAAGACACCTCAGCAAATTTTGGGCCAACAAAGACGTTGGTGGAGCCGAGAATGACGTGTCATTGGACAGGATTTTGGCTTCATGAGTCTCTGCAAGCGCCTTGACACCCACCAAAGCCCATGTCTCTGGAACAATTTCTGGATTACCGCTAGGATCTTACTAGACGGCAATTCAAAGCCTTGCAATCTCCACGCCGCAGACAGCAGACAAGCCAGATTGCCACCTCACGGCACTGTCATCGCCTGATGCATCGCAAAGAATGCGCAAACGCCTCCAGCGGATTCACGAACTATCTTCTAGGAAGGCGCATCACATAAATAGGCTTCCACGGGCGTGACTTACGGTAGACATTCACGACCGGCTTGCTTGCTCAATGGACATGTCACAATGGAACAAAGCAGACCACATACTTCACACTTTCCAGCCATGTCTGAGCGGTGATAAAGGTCTAAAAACGAATTCCCACAACTGTCTTTGTCTGATTGTCTCCATGAATAAATACAAGCGACCTAGACCTCCCCTCATAACCCGGCTCGCGCACCCCCGTATAGCATCAAGAAGTCCGCATTTCTAGCAAATACAAACGAAGTTTCAACTCCTCTGCATTACTGTCTCCGACTCACACGCATATCTCAAGAGAAGCAACAGCACCACCAAGCACATGAAGCACCCACGGCACCACCCCTCACAGCCCCCCAACAAGCCAAAGAACAAAAAACCCCCCGCCATCACCCTCGCCCACCGCCGCGCCATGGCCCTCTTCCAGCGCAACCCCGTCCTCGCCCAGAAACTCTGCCAAATGCGTCTCAAAATCGCGCCCATCGTAAACGTCACCACAGGGCTTCCACCCTCCCCCTTCCCCACCACCTTGCTCTCCCTCTTCCTCCTCACCGAGCCCGAACTCGACGCCATGGCCGCCTACTACAGCCAAACCATCCCGAATCCCTCGCCGACATCGCTCACCTTCGCGTACCCGCAGACCATGGACTGGAACCGCGAGTTACTGCGGAACGAGCCGGGGATGCTGCCCGAGGAGAAGCTGAGCGATGTGGAGCGTTTAAAAGTCAAGATGAGGATGTTTGCGCGGTTTATTGGGATGAGGGGGGCGGAGACGCCGCGGTGGGAGTATGAGCGGGGTGTGGAGATTTTGGCGAGGCGGATTGAGAGGAGGGTGAGGTGGGAGGAGGAGTTGGAGATGAGGAGGAAGGTGTTTATGGGACCGAGGGCGTGGCAGGCTTGAGGCTTTAAAGGTTTGTTTGGGGCTGGGAAGAGAGAGGGGGAGGGGAGCATGCTGAGCATTTTGTTGATGGGTCGCGCGTCAGACGGATGTCTACGGCGTGTAGGGGGGGCATTTACATCCATCGGGTTTGAGCGTAGCATTTTGGGGAGGCGTTACGTAGCCTCCGAGTGAATCGCAAAGTCATGATCAAAACGCACAGAATAAAAATATACACGTCCATGGTTAGTGCACTCTGGTGACGACTACGTGGGTGAAACTTCACGTGCACGCGCCCGTTCAGCATATGCCATGTGCATGCAAGAAGACAAGGTCCCCTTACATATAAATCCCTCGCAGGGCGCTGCAGCGAACTCTCACCCATTGGGGAGCTCAACTAGCTCAACTTCCCCGAAAGTAGGGAGGGACGAGGGACATTAGAGGGAGGGACCTTAGCCGCTTTTTTGGTTCCTTTGTCCCCCTACTTCATTAAGCCACCCTACCTCAGTGAATCTCTACAATATAGGGAGAGGGACATTATAGGGAGGGATATTATAGGAAGGGACATTATAGAGAAAAAAACAAGAGTAAGAACAATCCTGCCGAAAGAGAAAGGTTAGAAAGATAATAAAAAGAATGATCTCGCGATCTGTTAAAGTGATATTAGACCTGGTGGGGTTCGAACCCACGGCATCCGCATTGCTAGATGTGCAGTCATAAGGATCTGACGAGCCTTATAAGAACGGCGCGCTACCACTGCGCCACAGGTCTGCGATCTTTTGCGGTACGAATTCGCATTTGAGGTGAAACATTTTTTATTTTAGATATATATATAGAAAGTTTCATTCCGAGTTTCACTCCGAGTGAAACCCTAAGTACGTGTGTTGACCCGTGCGCGCAGTCCAGTGGCTAATATTCACTATTTAACCTCGAGGTCTGTGCGTGCGCTCGCTAAACTCGAGTGCCGCGCCAAGCTAGGTGAATCTTTGTACCAAGTCTACCACACTCCAATTCGGCAGGCGCACGGTTAATCTTTCTCCCAAGTCTACTACACTAACCATTTCGGCGGGCGCACGGTGAAGCGGATGCCAAGATCTAGGTGTTTTCTTTCCGTGGTTTTCTGATTGTTGACTCGAACTACAAAGTAGTGTCCCGTAAAGTGATAGACAAACATGGACTGACTGCCGTCCAAACGTGATACAAAAGGAAGCGTTGTGAGTGGATAACGTTTTCTTTCCGTAAGAGGCGGCCTCGGGGCCACCTGATCATCAGTGAATGCGATTTGTCACCCTCAGTACCAGCGCCAAGCGGAGGCATAGATACGGGATGAGGGGTTACAATAGTCGCACCAATCCAGACGCCATCTAAATTACCAGTGGTGGCCTCGGAGTATTGATTTGCTATTGTGACAATCTGTTCAAACATGCGTGCTAGAGGGCAGTTTGCCCACTGCTATACTCTACTCCAACAGCTCACGTATTTCCAAGCACGATGACATGAGCTAGAAAGCTGGGCTGATACGTGCATGCGTTATCCCTACACCTCGGAGGTTTAAAGAGATAAAATATAATGAACTGAATATAGACACCACGTACACCCCAGACAGTGACGAGCTCAACACCCCAGATAGAAACGTGAATAACAGTGAAATGTGTTAAAGAGGTCGAAGACACCAGCTAGGGTTGTCGAGGGAGAAGCCGGGCAGACGTTCTAAGCCTGCCAAACAATATACAGACGAGAGAAGAGGCTGGCTGTACGGACGAATGGATGAAGAGTAGTTCTAAACGACTAGGCTGTGCCAGCTAGCTATCAAGTGCCACCCGGAAGAAGCTTCTTTTTCTTTGATGGCGGCAGCTCACATGCTCGCGACTCCACACCCTCGTGATCATGTGTTGTCCTCTTTGCACTGTTAAGGGGTACCACGTCGCAGGTCAGAACTGGCGAGATCAGCGTCGAAGAAAATCCCACGACAGAGTCCGCAAACAACGCCATTCCTGCTGCGAACTCGCTCGTCCCCAAATCGGCAACGTCAAGCTCGAATTCGAGGGTAGCTCCTATGGTTATGAGGATCTTGTCTTCCAAGGGGAGTGCTGCGTGCGAAAGCCGGCGTTGTCGGATAGGTGTTTGTGAGCGTGGATAGGAGAGGGATATCGATACATCCCTCGACGAGACGTTTTTGACGTAGAGACGCCGATCAAGCCCAAGTACAAGATTAAACTGCCTCTTGCATACCCGTTCTCCAGAAACTTGGACGTCGTTCAGGCGGGATGCTCCAAAGCTCAGACAGTAACAACCAGTAAACATGCTCATGTCGATGTCTAGACATGTACCGGAACTGCCGCGGTAGAGTGCTGTAGGGAGATTACGTCGATTGCGCAGACCGGCGAGCGAATCGCGCGCGTCAGCCGATACAGGCTTGAGAGATGCAATGATAGGCATAGCCACTGCGTTAGGGAGACTGTGTTTGACCTCAGTCAGGGGCATCTCTCCCCTGTTGTACATATTCCGATGTTTGCAGCGTCTCACATGTCTCAGCCAAAGGGACTGGGAGACGACGCAGACTATGCCATGTCTTTGGTGAACGGCGCCATGGAAGCTGTTTCCATGGTGAACCGGATCCCAGCGCAAATTGCCAACGTCGTCCATGCTTGTCCTGCCCTCGCACGATAGGCTTAGGCAGCGGCTCCACGTGGAAGAGTTGCAAGGCGCGGAACGCGGTAGATTCTCCGACGCAGCTCTCGCGCCCTACCCACGGAGCTGTTCCAGCAACCTGCGCTCAAGTTGCTCGTAGTCGTCGGCAAGGTGCTGGTGCAACTCTTGAACAGACAACTGATAATGTTCCGCGTGACGCTGCGTGGTGCCGGGAAAATGAAAGGTGCCTGAACCCGCAAACTTGTCCAGCAAGGCCCAGACCTCCATCCACGCATCGTTGTTCGGCTCAAAGATCATGGACCCAGATGCGGCCACCGTATAGTCTGCAATAGCAGATTCGTGTGCAGCTGCTCCGCGAGCCGCGGGACACGGGACACTGTCAGTGAACTATTCTCTCTTATTAGTAGCTAATACCTCCTCGTACTTTGTCCGTTGCGCATATGTGTGGCTAACATCATCAGATGGTATGACGAGCAACGGACAGCGTGCATCTTTCCCCACAGCTCCCAAGAGGTCAAAACATAGGATACGAGGCGCTGCACAAGAGGAGAGACGACGAGCCTCCGCAGCGGTCAGGCTCAGTCCTCACATCGTACCCGCCCGCCAACGAGCAAAGGCAGATACAGGTACCACGGGGGTAGGCGCTAGAAGACGATAGAGCGTGGAGGGTGGCCATCCCGTCTCCCTGTACGTCTTCTGCTCCAGCTTAGTCCACCGGTACCAACAGTAAGCGAAATATCCCAGCACGTAGTCTCTCGCCAAAACTACAAGCAGACCCGACATGCGTCACGCACAGCAGTCCATGATGTTTCCAAAGAATTGATGGTAGAACCAGCCCAGGTCTCTCGGAGCGGGCGCCGCGCCTGTGGGTGCCGCTTCGACGGGCTCGTCATCCTCCTGCTCCGCCCCCTCCTCACGCTTGGGTGGCACATGGCGCAACGGGCGGCCGCCTTGACGACGCGGTTCAGGATTAGCCTAGAGGATGGCATACACCTTCTTCACCCAATCGCCTACGGGACCCATGCGTAGCCAGTACTCTACAAATGCTCCTTCGGCAAAGGAATCCTTGATCCCTAGGGTCGTGTAAAAGCAATCGGAGAGGACCTTCTCGGGCAGGAAGAAGAACCAAGTATCCCACTAGTCTAGCTTAGCATGCTCGCCTTCGGCTGGCAATTAGAACTCATACAAAAGGTAGTCAAATCTCAGTCGCGGTCAGTAGCCCTGCGCTTCCCGTCCATTCCTCCAGCACTCACCGTTCAAATACCATAAAGTAGTACCCCACGTGCTCCCTTGCAGGCTTGCCGTACTTCCCTTTGACGTGACGTGTAGGCGCAATATCTACGGCGCGAAGGTCCAGCGTTTAGTATTGCCTGCGATAGTCAATCTTGTACTGGACCAGGGCCTCTCCGAAAGGCGTGATGAGTTTGAAGTCTGCCAGCTAAGGTTGGTGTAAGACAAAGTCGAAACGGATGGCGATTTTCTACACGATGTAAGCGTTGCGGACGGCACGCTAGATCCTTGCCGTGCCTTTGTACGCGGTAAACTGCGCCCCTTATGAGTCTTCGTTCAGAATAACTCGCGCTCCACTAAATAGAGCAGTGCGGGCTTCCAGTTCTAAAAGCAGGCCTTTATCCACAGATTTGTATAGCGGAGGCTCTAATCTAATACGCAAGCGCGTATGTTGTTCAAAGCTACGGGTAGGAGTTCCAACAGCATGGAGTATAGCGTATTACATGGGTTTAGGAAGTGGCACGCACAAGGCGTGACTAATGCTTCACACAAGCGAGTGACTGCAGCATGTCCACCGCTGGGGACCTGCTCTCCTGCCAGCCCTGCCAGGCCGTTGGGTATGACTTCCACGGACTTGGGGTCGGCGGCGCAGAAGCAGATGTAAAAGGCAGTGTGCCGCCGCTGGTCCAATGTTGTCTTGTACTTTTGGTTATGTAGCTTGTGCGAGGCGCTACCCTTGACATCGAAAGGGACGAGGGTGCAGAGGCCCGGGTCGGAAGGATGGGCGCTGGCGCGCCTAGTCATCGCGTAGAATCTGTCAGCGAAGCTCGTGGCAGGCGAAGCAGGGTCGATGTGCCTGGGACAGTCAGCAACAATACATACATACATGCGTTGCTCCTTCGGCGCGCCGTCTTACAATCTAGCACGCCGTCGACATTGGCGAATTCAGCCGATCGGACGACAAAGGGCAAATGGTACATGGCCGCAAAAGCACGGGCCTCGAATCGTGAACCACCGTTCGAAAGGGGCACCTGGCGCAGCAACTCCATGGCTGCTCTGTAGGAGTACGTCGAGTGGATGTGGGGGTTGCGCGGGGTGACGACGATCCCGACCATGGAATGCACAGGGTCTTGGTAAGACATCAACTCGAACAGGGACTGGCTTTTCACGAGCTTCTGTTATCCCTACACAGTTCGAAGCGCAGACTGGGACTGTAGCATCTCCCATCACTCCCACTCGGCTTGGAACAGTAGCAAGGCAGCTGCAAGCGCAAGCTTTGCTTCGTACAGATGGCAACGACTGCAGGGCTTCTTTGCCCAAGTCTTTGCGCACAAATAGCATTTGTTGCTGGCAGTATATCAACACTGCGTCCATGTCGTTGACCTCAACCTTGGAATAAACCACACATCTCCACCGTACCGCAGCTCGAAACCACAGCCCTCACGCACTTCAACACCAGCCCACAATGTCTTCTTCAAGCAACGACCACATCGACCCTAGGTACGTCACCCCGCCCTCGTCTCCACCCAGGACACCCAAGGCACCGCGCAAGCCCCGTGCACCTCCTCCGGTGCCCCTAGCCCCCTAGCCCCCTAGCCCCCCCGGCTCTACCTGTGGGTAACGCATCCAAGAAAGATAGGCAAGACTTGAGACGCAAAGGTGGAGATGATGGTGAAAAGGATGGCGAGAAGGATGGTGACGATGATGGTGGCGATGATGGTGCAAATGGGCGGGATAGGTGGCTAGACCAAATTCAGAATGAGGGGCTGGAGCTGCTGGATATGCACTAGTGTAGAGACCACCACATCACGACATTCTACTTCACCGTCACTTTCAGAACCTCATTCACTTCATTGACTTCAAATATCTGATAGAAATTTCTCGCTTCG